CCCCAAAACCCCAAAACCCCAAAACCCCCAATCCGATTCTTAAAAGTGTGTAATAAAATGAATGACCTGAATAATTAAGTTAAAATAGTGCAGGCAAGAATCTTTATTACGAATGATCGAACTGTAAAAATTTTCACAAATTCATCAGATAGTAAACTCCTCATCAACCTTCCAATAGCTGTCTGAAATGTTGTACTTGTACAAATTCTTCTTAGTGTTATTCCATCCGACTGTGTAAAGACAATCATCAATCTGGAATACCATAGTTGAGAATGAACCTACTGTAGGTAGATCACCTGATTTCTCAATGGTTTTATTGTTAGTGTTAAAAACAAAAGTGGCATTGGTTCTATTTGCTTTGTCGAAGCCACCAAAAATGAGGATCGAGGAGGGTCCAATCTAGAAGGCCATAGCCAAATCACAAGGTATCCAGTTGCTCTTATTCTTAACATTGATTATTTCCCAAATATTCTTTTCCACATCATATAGTTCACACACATCAGTAATCTCCTTAGGAGAGAACTTAATTCTACCAGAGAATACATAGATAAATTTAGCGTTAAAAACGCAGCAGGCAGCAGAGTCTCGAGCTACGTTAAGTTCAGCCATTCTGACCCATTTATCAGCCCCCACGTCATAGTATTCACAATTTTTATAGAAATTCTTAGCATCGTTACCTCCAATCACGTAAATTCTGTCCTTTTCTGATTCATAAATGGAGGTGAAATCTGATCTAGCATCATTTAAATTTGCTTTATGTTCGAGACACTTATGCTCCTCAATATATTCAAGCATCCAATTGCAGCAGACATTATCCTGATGACGACCAGCAATACAAAACAGTCTGCCATGATCAGTTACCACTGTTCTACAAAATTTGGGGATATAGTTATTAAAATCGACCAAGTATTTAGATTGCTTTCTAGACTAAACATCATAGAAGTGAATATTTTTGTTTCCCCATTCGAAGTAATGTATAATCCTCTTGTCAGTCAACTTCTTTTTGACTATGAATATATTCTGGAAGAAGTCAATAATTCTCTCCTTGATGTCAAAGTGATTGAATTCGGCAATCATAGTCTTTTGATTTTTCAAATTTTTCTCATAAGCATTAATCAGCGCATTTCTTTCATCTATTACACTTCTGATATAATCGAAGATAGAGGTGTCAGTGGATCTCTCTAGTGAAGCAAGCTTATCCTGCAGGTTTTAGTCTTCTTTTTCCTCCCTAGTGAGCTTATCATACATGTCCTTAATCTGAGCATAGTTTCTTTCCAATTCTCCCACAATCATCTCCTTATATTGACCACTAAGAATAATAAAATTTCTGATGAATAAATGTCTTACCTTCCAAATCTCTCTTTAATCTCCTAGAAATTTCGAGTGATTTCAGGTAGTTTTTCACTGTGAGATTCTGAATTTTTAGCTTTCTCTAGGATTTATTGGGCCTTCTCCCTCAATTAATCAATCTTAGTCTCGAATACTGTCAACTGAGTCTCCAAATCTCTTCTGTCGAGTTCATCAATATTTACAATAGTATGAGTTCTATGCTTTCCAATAGCACATCTAAAGCAAACACCAGCTGAACAATCCTTGCAAAAACCTTTAGTTTCCTCACTTGGGTGTTCATTACATCCTTTGATATCGCCTTGACCTCTACTTTCCATTTAATTATAAATTTTAATTACATATATTTTAGATGTAATATAGTTTTACGGGGTTTTGGGGTTTTGGGGTTTTGGGG